AATCTAAGTTGAAACCCCTCTCTTATCAAAGTTCAGATCATATAAGGAATTATATTTGATCCGATTCTGAATCTCTCGCTAAAGAATAAACCTTAGAACATAAAATCAGATAAATTTTGAATTGCTGATTAGAATTCGAACAAAATAATTGACAAATAAACCGAATTTAACAGTTTCTAGTAACTAAACTACTTTTATCCAGTAACTGGCGTTTCGAAAATGGGAAATTTAATATTTAAATAAGGACTGAAATGCTTTCGTTTGATATAAAAGGTATTAAAAAAAGTTTGCATTCCGCAACCCACAGAGCCGGTTTTATTTATATTTAAGTGAAGAACACGTTAATGGCAAGAAACACTTACCCGGTTGTGGTATTGAAAAGTAGTTCAGTAAGCACTGAACGGCTGCGCGACCCTTGCTTCATCTTTTGGTTAATGAACTAAATACTTTTACTGCAGTGTCCAGATATACTCGCAGATTTACCTGTAAACTTGCACCGTTGATATGAGCTACAAATCGAAGTGACCTGCTGATCATCTTTCTTTTCTCCGGCTCGAACTCCTACCGGAAGATAGATAAATAGACAATGATTCGTGAATGACATTTAACATTTATCTATAGTTGACAAACGGTTATTAGCTGGCTGTCCTGTTTGCGGGTTTATTGTTGAATAATCCTGTTTTATAAAGATAATGGCAAACATAAATTAGTCTTCATAGCTTGAAATTATTTGATGACATTCGGCATTATACCTTTTTGTGTTTCGGAAGTCAGAAATGGGTTTGCGCCACAAAAATTTTAATCAAAATTATACATAGATTCTGAAGTTTCTGACCAACCTTTCTCAGACTCAAAGCTAGAATAACAGAGACTGATGCTTAACATGCGTCCTTCTGTGAAACAGTCGCGATCTCGATACAGAAATTTTTCATGAACATGATGAGTGGTGCCTAAAGAAGCTTCCCCTCTTCATATCCTGCAGAACATCCAAAGTTCTCACGAAGTCTTTTCACTTTCAGGCGTTACTTTACATATTGAGAGACATAACACCAAAAACGAAAACTTTGTTTACCTGATAACAGTCATATTTTGCTCCAAGGATACACACTGGAATGTATAGAGGTTGAATAAATTCTTTATCCTGTAAATGTTGATCAGGCAGTCATTGATCACTGTATGCTACTTAAATGAAACTCGCTTGATGGTTCGCTAGCTTCTCAGCGAAACTCTTTTTGCTGAAAGATGCCAGGTGTTCCACGCCACCTCCGTCAGCTGCCTTTAATACAGTTTTCCGAATAGCTCCTAAGCAAGCCTCCATCGTATTCCAGAGTTCTTCTGGCTTTGACAAATCCAATATCAGCGCTACAGAAATCTCCCTAGAGTTTGAAAATAATGCAGAGATTATGTGCAATAATACGTTAAGATTACTTTAACCGCTTCGGCGTAATAACAGTTTGCAGAAGGTCCAAAAACTTGACATTTCCTCCAAGCTCCCAAATGTTACCCACGTATTTGCTCTAAAACATATAATCAAGCCAAATATTAGCTCAACGAATATTCCCTTGAGTATAATAATTTATTTTAATAGCAATTTCAACTACCAGAAAGTTAAGACTAAATTTATTTCTGTGTCTCTTTAAAATAAATACAGTCGTCCCTCCACCTATCGCGGCTTGTCTTTCGCGGTTTTTTAAATTGTAAATATCTAATATTGTATCGCGTACTTTTCGCTATATTGCGGGATTTGCCGTAGATAGGTATCTTTATATACTTTTGATTTTAATTATTTTTGCGGTAAAATTTGCATCTTCTAGCCTAAAAATATGACGGAGAGGAAAATGTCAGCAAGGAGGAAGAGGAACAAGAGGAACTAGGGGTTGAAGAAGAAAAGAAGGTTGGCCTAACACTCGATGATTAGAATGGCCAAAGATCTTCAGCGATTGGCTCAAGAATGGGACCCCCAGATTCTTTGCTCGTTGCAGTTTTGAAATACAATCGAGGGTAGCATGTCGGTTTATAACAGCGCCAGCAACTCCCCATAACTACCTTTTTCAGTTAGAAGAAAACACCAGTTACACCTACCGTCTTTAGAGAAAACAGAATCTACGGACGAGGGCAAAGATACTGCACCACCTGATGAAGTTGCGCCTTCAGAAAAGCTGTAATGTTCTTCTTGTCCATACAGTACATTCATCTCGGCGTCATCTCCTGTGTCGTCATCAGTACTGCACAGCTAACTCATCATCTTCTTCATCATTCAAGTTGTAGTATGTTCATTGATGAATGCCCAGAGAATTTTATGTTGTTAAAGTTGCGTAGGTTTAAGAGTGTGGAAAATATTTAAGAGCATGGGAAGTGATTACAAAAATATGGGAAAGGTTAACAAGAGCGTGGGGAGGGTTTATAACCTTTTAATTATATAATTTTCCTTTTTATTTCCTCGTCTTTTAGGTAGTAGTCATTTCGTAAGAAAACGCCATTATAAGCTGATTCAGACAGCAGTATTCATAAAATTTTTATGAGGGAAGTTTAGTATGGTTATTCTTTTTTGTTTCTTCTTTCATCTATCTAAGAGTATTTTTGCCTACACCTAACAGCACCTTGTTTTT